TTTCAAAAATTCTTTCTCTAGTGTAATACAATTATTATTTCTTTTATTATAGCATTTTATTATTTGCAAAAATATATACTTAAAAATTTGCAAAAATAAAAATTTTTATTCAATATTTGCATACAGATATAAACTCTTTTTCGCACATGTATACACAACTATTTTTAACGATAACAAGTAAGTATATTGTAATAGACTAAATAAGAAAAATTTAATCTTTATTAAAATAATTATTAACTAATTTTACGCAGCTTTGAGACTTTGCATATATACGACATAACTTTGTCGCGGTCGATAAAATGGAATTTACCTATTAACAAGATTTCAAGTGGAAAGAGGAAGATTTTGATCTGGTAGTGAAAACTTTTTGTTCATGACAAAGCCATGTTGTAAGCTAGGTTAAGATTCTCCAAAGACAGAGCGTTCATGGAAACTATGCTAAAAGTTTTCTCATTGTTAAGTGACCAGCAGAGGTGAGAATTTCTAACTTCACGTCTGTGAAATTCACAGGAGATGTATATTGTCTCGTAATATTTTAATAATATTTATTTGAATATTATCTTTATTTGAATATTATCATGAATGAAGTAATGTCTAAAAAATATTATCTAATACTATCATTTGGAAACATACTGTCTAAAAAATGCAATTATTACGTTACTTGTAATTAAATATTTGTTTACAATTAAAATAAATTTTTAATATGCGTGATTACTTTTTGTCACGTAATTTTACATTGAAATTACTATTAATATTATACGCAAATTTTCAGAAAAATCTGTAGAATGCTATGTTTCTTATTATATTTTTTAATTTTGTCATCAATTTTTTTAGAGTCTTCTTTTTTCCGTAATTTGAAGTTCTCTGACTTATTCATATCTTAGAATTAATTAATTAATAATAAAGTACAATAATATTTTATTTCTTTTTCAGAATTTATAAATACTTAATTCTAACTTTATTTTAGAATATTATATTATATATTTAAATTAATACTCTATTAATTTGTTTGTATAACTATAATTTATTTGTGCAAAATTAAAATTTCTAAGATACAAAGATATTGCATATCAAATTAATAAAAGCACCAATATTATACAATTGTGACAAAAAGATCACTTCTTTTTTATGTTAACGAAATCTTTGAATGCCTTCATACTAGGACCTTCGATTTCATTATATTTCGGAGCTTCGGCCTGGACCCTGTCATACCATCTCAGAATGTTGCTGTATTTGCTCAAATCATGATCCATGACCTGCAAAAAGAGAAGCATTAACATTTAAGTTTCTAATTTGATATCTAATTTGATGTTTTTGTTATAACAATTTGCAAAATCATATTTTTGATAAATTTATATTTTATTCTTTTATTTTTATAATAAATATATAATAAATATATATAATAAAATTTTTTTACACGTAAAACATAAAAATTTTATTTTAAGTCATAAGTAACAATAATATTACATTTAATTTTTAAATAAGAAATAATATTATATTTAGACATATAAAGATATCCTTCCTTGCTTACATTAACATTTTAATTTAGTAAATGTTTTAGTAAGTAAATGACATATGCTAATGTAAAACTTGTTTCTCACCTTAAAATTACCAACAGTGACAACTATGGTAAGGTCAGCCAGAGTTAAAGTTTTGCCTGCCACATAATTTTCTCCTTCTAAAAATTTATCCAAGAAGCCCAAAGCATTGTTCATCTTATCGTATTTTGCCTGATCCGGAGTGACGCCGGTAAATATCATTACATACTGCAATTAATGTTTATACATATACATTATTACTTTCATTTAATCATTACATTACATTAGTGGAATCTGAAGTTATTAAGTATAATTTATGAAGTATTATGTGATTTAAGATTGCTTACATAATAGTCGGCAAATGATTGGTACAGAGTTCCCAAATCGAAATACAGCTTTTGATCAACGACGGCTCGTTTTTTTGGATCTTTCGGATAGAGAGAATCATTTTTGCCGTATTGATTAGCCAGGTAAGCCATAATCGCGCGGCTGCAAAACGTATTTCAAATCGATGATGAAACGTAAATAGTTAATATTGTGATAATAAATAATTGACACTAGTTTTACTAAAGAATTTGTAAAAAGCATATTTATAAAATCAATTTATATTTAATATATACAAATTTAAAAACTCGCTTTGTCGCAAATCTAGCATCTAATAGCATATAATTATGGAAAAACAGATATTCATATATTCATTTCATTTGTGTAAAAAAATCAAATTTATGATATTTGTTAAATTCTGCAAAATGATAAAAATATAGATATACCTTTCCCACAGATATAAACCATTATCATCCAAAGTAGGAATCGTATGTTGTGGATTCATCTATATTCAAAGAAACATATATAATATGCATAGATAACATTTTATGACTATAACAAACAGTAACTTTGTGTAAGGTCAGAATGAGCCGGGCAAAATTTTAAAAAGGAATATCATAAGCCTTTTAATGAATTATATTTAAAAAGGAAATAAATATCTATTATCTTTGCAGTTTTGTTTTTAAATTAAGGATAATTCAATCGCACCTCCCTAAATACCTTTCTTTTGTAGAGAATTTAATTATCGCAGTTACCTTGAGAAATTCGGGTTTCAGGTGTTCGCCAGCCATGAGGTCAGTGTTCTTCAGGTTTATATCCACTCCTATGGCCGCTGCCGCCAAGCGCACGGCCCGACATGGCGCACTTCCGGCAAGTTGGTAAAGATCGATGGGCATCTTGAAATCTGCGAAAACGAAAATAGCGCGACGCGCTATTAATGAAGTGGCCAGTGTGATCGATCGCACGTCAAGCATTCCCGAGCATTCGAGCGGCACTGGAAACTATTTTCGATAGTACGCGTGATAAAGAATTTTTCGATTAAAGAAAAAAAGAAAAGAGAAGACAACTAGTTATGCGTTAATCATGGAAAAAAAAAAGAGACACAAAAAGATCTATCGGGCAAAACAATCCGGCGACATTATCACAGATTAATCTAATTGGACGTAGGTTTCGCATATCAATTAATCAAAGGCAAACTTTTCAATTATAGCCCGCGAGTTACAGCAAACCAGTAGCTTTACACATTCCTCTATGCACTATGGACAGACGTGGAAAATGATGCCGCAAGTTTCCACGTTCATACATTATCGCGTAACGAGGAACGAATTCGAATTCCTCGCAGAGTCGATCTCGCGCACCATAAATCACAAATATTTCGCAATCATCGAAATAGCTTTTGTCACTTTGGCAGTTTTAGAGAATTAATTCTGGCAGAAGGGTAGGAAGAAAATAGGGGGAGAGAAATAGAGAAGTCAAAGTACGGACCGAATCTGTAGATTGCACTCTCTGGAGAGACGCGAAGCGAGATTATGGTCGACTGTCCAATCAACTTGCTTGTCCGTGCTATTTATAAAGCCCGCGTAGCACAGCACAGCCTCTGTTTTGTACGCACACAAGAGTGAGATCGATTATGCGTCGAGGGTTCTCAATCCTCGCGGTAGTCGGGGGGCGTCACTCGCCTTTAAGTTTTGCTCCATCGCGACGTTTCTCGATCATTTCAACCGTCCAATTTACATAATAGCGATAAGTGATAAACGGCCTTGCGACCAACAAGCGGGCGAATATACATTATTAAGAGATCGGCCGTCCGGTGACGACGATATTTTATTTCACATGAGTCGACGCCTTTGCTGAGCAGCCAATTGCTCTTTACCGCTTTATCGTCACGCTTATCTGGTTTGTTTTTTTCAGAAAAAAAAAAAGAATTTTACAGTTTACGAAATTTGCATAAGTTTATTATGCAATGCTAGTATCGAAATAAATAATTACTCTGTTTTATATCTATTTATATTCATGATATATTTATTTCGTGAACTTACGCAAGACTGAAAAATAAAAAAAAAAGAAAACACTATTGATGAGTTGGTTTTTTATTTAGAATGTGTTGGCAAGAGTAAACTCACAGATTCGGACATTTATTTTGAGACTCGATTATGTTGTGATTTTATCTAGGTTTCAATCTATCAGCGCTTATTAGTATTTTATCAACTAATTGAACCGCATCTACTAATTAGTTCTAGCGTGCTGATGATTCGTCGCCGTATAAAAAATTTGCAAATCATGCTTTTCTTTAGACATCATAAGGAAACTTTCAAGATTCAGCATTGCCATTAAGTGAGTGATTCAGCAAGATTTGTAGCGATAGAACGTCGAAAAATTGATGTCATCTCGTTCACGCCCATTTCGATAATACAACATTAGTTTCTTAACGGACATTGATATGATGTTTCTTACTTACTTTATTATAAATAAAATGATTTTCATTCTAACAAGTACAATTTTTATTTAAGTCTTTTAATATTTAATTTTCCAACTTTAATTGTTTATATAAAGTTTTAAAAATAATTATAGTTAGAAATTTTCGAACTTTCTTATATTACAATTAAAACTTATCACGTCTGCGATAAGTTCACGAAACAATAACGAAATACGATGCTACAGGCACGTAGTTATTTTCTTTCCTCTGAAAGTTACATAAGTTTCACAGCCGTCTTTTCTCTTTTATTTATATGAGATCTCATCTTCTATAGAGAAGCCGACAGTAGACAATTACTTGGTAGCAAGTGAAGGTATCAGTCCGAGCGTGGCCTTGAGTTTCAAGGTTTCTATTTCCTACACTGATATATTTACTTCGTGTCTAGCGTCAAGCGGATGTAACAAATTTGAGAACAAATTTGCCAGATTACTTTGATTCCGAAAGCAAATGCTATACAGGAAAAATTAACAATGAAAAGAAGAATCGATATTTTCGATCAAATCGCAACTAGTTCGAAAAATGAACGATGGATGCATCATAAGCTAAATCTCCTCTCTCTCATTTTTTATCTAATGAATTTTATACATTTCTTTTTAAACATATATTTATTCGAGAGTCGTATATTAAGATACTTAAGTTTGTGTATTAAAAATGTAGGCTTTTTCTAGCTGAATACCTGTTAAAGGAAAAACCTTGGCATAATTGAGTAAAGTTCCGAGATGCGTGTGTACGTGTGTTGCATATATATATATATATGTGTGCGTGTGCGTGCATAGAGCATTCATTAGCTTTATTTTTTCGATTATGCAACGTTTTAACTTTGTATGTACTTATAAACTGCGCACTAATACTTTTTTTTATATTTAATGGCTATTATTAATCATTAAGGAAACAATAATCTTCAATTAAAATACAAAAAGTTTTCTAATCCTTTTTCTAATCTATTCCTTAATCTTTTTGTTTCATATTTTTTTAAATGTGCTTGTTTTGTTTAAGATATATGTATATATATAAAGCGCAATAATATTAAAATTACTATAACAATAATTTTCTCTCTTTCTCTATCTATCTAACTTTTTATGTGTGTGATGTATCATGGGACTTATTCACAAAATATAAAATGTTTTAATAATTTTAACGCCAACTATAGTCGCAAGTGCGACAAACGAATGTAATATTATCGATTACCACGTAAGCAAACGCTTTGAAACTATGCCACACTTTTTTTTTTAGATCTACACAAGGATTAACATAATGTTCCCACGCAAACAGTAACATAGAACGCACACGATGAGAATATGGTAAGTACAATTTCGAATTAACTGCATTCCGAGTCTGAAAGATTCGTTTTAATCAAAACCAGACCGGTTTTAATCGCGGTTGACCGTCCAGTAACTTTCTGGGAAGAACGCGAGAAGCATATTATTGCATAAGTAGCTCTATCGAGTTATTAGCTAGTTGCGGTTCGTTCGATGTTTAAACTTTTAATGCAATTATACTTGGAAATTTTCTACAAAGCAAATTAATTCACCGCGAAACTAAGTAACATAAAGCGATTAGGTTAATAACGTCGATAGATTATCGCATAAGCAGTTAGATTGAATTCATTCGTTCAAAGTTTGTTACATGTTACAGCGTTAAAATTAAATCTCTATATATACGACTTAACCATGATAGTTGTCTATATGTAAAACGATAAGAAAAATTGACTTTAGGATGTTCTCATCCTATTACAAACAAACTGATACATTAGAAAAAATATTATTTTATAACAAAAAAAAGAAAATTTACTTAATTGTTTTTATATGTAATTATTATTTAATGTATATAATGTATATTTATATTTTTTAATTGTGTCATATTAATTTCAAATTTTATAGGTAGATTATATTATTTATAGGTTGTATATCATGTTTGTTATGTATAAACGTTACATATCGAATAATGAGAAACTAGAAAAAAATGTAAAGTAAAACTGTAAATTTAAAGTTTAAAATTGTAAATTCCTTTATGCTGAATTTGTAGCGATATACTAAAAAATATGTTCTACTAGATGAGATAAATTAAAATTTATGCAATTTCTCAATTGCTTACAAGAATAAGGTGAACCTAATAATAGAGAATAATTATTTTTCATAAGGAAATAGAAAAATATGTTAAAAAAGTAATTTTCTATTAAGTAAAAAGTAATTTCTGTTTTTTTATATTTTTTACCATACGTTAACTATGCACTTACATAATACATTTTTTACAAAATTATACATCCTTGAGGCGTAAATCTCAATCTTAAAGTTAATTTTTCTCCATTAATGCAGACACGTGTGGTCTTCAATGGATTTTACGAATTAGAAATATGTGGAGAGTAAAGAGAAGCAAAATCGCCTCGACGTGTCCGACATGCATGACCGACAAATGCAGGTACAGTTTCTTGCTACCTTAGAACGAACTGAATTCTATTCACGGCTGTGAAACGCATTCCTGCCTCGTCATTGTCCTACACCGGTTGTTGCGTAATTGCTTGCAATAATGTAGCAGGAGCAACCAATATATGTACATGCCCAATATCATCGTGCCGGGGCAAGGCAATACCAGCGGAGATAAACGATTAAATGGTACATGCAACGTAACATCAATTATCTACACTCACGATATCTACAAGTCAACGAAAAGTGCACAGATGTGATTATTATTAACGATAAGATACTACAATTTTTGGTAACAGCGCTTTTATCATTATTATGATAATATTGCGATTGTTAAAAATAAAAAGATAGAGCTTATTAAATCATAGCTATATTCTTGACAAGACATTGCTAATCGGTATGTGAATGTTATTATGATCGGCATTTTACACAAATACATTATGTTTTTTTTTTTTACTAAAGATTGTTTTTAAAAAAAAAAAAAAGAAAAGGAAAAATGTCTAATGATTAATGCATTTGTATGCATTGTGTAAAAGAAGGTTTCCCCATAGTAATATAATAAATGTATTTAAAAAATTTAATTATTTCTAAAAGTTTGTAGAGATAAATAAATTGAATCCGATTCGCAAAAAATAAATTTAATAAATAATACTTTAAAATGTAATAAATTATAAAAATATAAATGACAAAAATATTGAATATAAATTTATTCGATCTTTTAGTTATTCTAAATTATATTATTTTATATGCCTGTAATATTTTTCAATATATATAATCTGATTAGTAATTTTAATTCAAGTAGCGATCCAAGTATGCCAAGTACATTAGTTCACTCTTGAAGCTGCTTTATACAATTTCGAATTTTAAATAAAACTCGCAGACATCATAGTACAAAATTTATATTTAAATTTAATAAATTTAATACATTTTGTATAAATTGAAAATTAGTATTATATTAGTATTATATAAAATATTATAGAGAAAATAAATTAATATAAAAAAAATCTACATCTAATGAATTGTGTAAATAAACAATTTATTTTGTAATATATAATATGTAGAACTTAATATCTTAATATAATTAAATCAATTAATATAATTAATTCAAAATTTAACTAAATTTAACTAAGTTTAACAAAATAACCAAAAAAGCATATTAAAAAATAGGATATTTATAAAAATAAAATTAATAATTTTTCATATAAAAATTCAAACGTTTATATTGAATACGAATATATTGAAAACTTTTATTTACATTTTTTATTTGTCAAGTCTTTCTATTCTTATTCCATTCTATATATATTTATATATACATGTACATATATATGTTGTGCATGATATATAAAAGTCCGCTTCTCTTCATTGAAAGTCAATACGTACGCTAGATATATAGTGATGTAAATATGTAAAAAGGATAAGATTTTCCGATAATGCTTGTTTTAGATTTTTTTCTTGTTTCATTGATTGTTATATATAGTTCTCTATCTTTGCGCGCTTGTAAAGAATAATGTGTTTTGCGCATTTCGAAACTTCTATATTTTGCATGCCTGGACGTCACGCAGTAATTAAGAAAATGAAGTAATGATGATACAGCAAACTATAGTAACGTCGTCGACTTTACATAATTCGCAGTTTAACGTTGCTATTATATTTTTTCAATACTGAATAAATATTGATTCTTGTTAGTCTTATAACTTTTATTGTAGACATTTACAGGACAAGCGTAATTGTAAAATTAATATGAGTTAAAATACTGAAAGATAAAATTTAACATAAGTTCACTTCACAAAATTAATAATAAATTAGTTTTATGTAGTGTGCATCTTTGTTGTGAAATTTAATACTAAGTATATTTCAGTAATTATATTTAAGACTTTTGTTGTGTTACATGTAGAAAAATACATATCGCAAACGTATAAACAGATATCGCAAAAGTATAAAGACCAGCTCTACGAACAAAGAATTTATTAAATAATCTATCAAGCAACTATCAAGTAGTAACAACATTTTGAAAACACTTATATTGTTTATCATAACAAAGCTGTTGAAACACTGCGGAAGGTAAAAAGCAAATTTTAAATTCTATAAGGTACAACAATGAGATTCCATGTCTAATCTCGATCTCAGGTAAACGAGTAACTATCGATTCTTCGCTTTAGGCGTGCACAAATATCCATATCCATGTTAACTAGATTCTTGCAGGTTCGCGTGGTACATCTCGGTAAACGTTTTAACACCCATAGCGTGCACCTCCTCAAACCCAAATCTCTCCAGGGTTTCCTTGCAACGGTCGTAATACGCGGCAACGTTATCGTAACGACTGATGTCGAAATCAAAACACTGCAATGGAAAAATCGACCTCGATATGTATTTGCACTTACGACGATCCGATAAAGTCATGCTCCGGCGGAAACGGGGGCTTACCAATATCGTACAAATAGTTGTGCTGATAGTGAAGTCGGCAATGGTCAAATTATCACCGGCCGCAAATTCCTTGCCATCGAGGAAAGCGTTGAGAACCTCGAACGATTTCTCCACTCGAACCAGATCTGCCTCGTTAATGGAATTAGCTAGACCTCGTACCACCGGTATCTAAAGTAACCATTTTTATTTGTCGTATCTCATGTCAATAATTAATATTATAATATACAAGAAGAGAGATTATTGGCAGTGTAGGGAAACCTAAAGTGAAGTTCAGAAATATAAGATATTTCTTTAATTCTAATAACAATCACAGAAAAAAGAAAAATCTAGAAAAGAAAAATTATATAAATACGGTTGAATAAGAATTGACAAAGGAAAAATTAATTTCGTTAAAAATCATTGTGGAACATTGTAATACTTATATTATAGACTTATTAATTTAAAGCATATTATAATATTAAGATTATTAATACATACAAAACATCTCATAAGATTGGCATAGAGACTACCGGCATCGAAATACATCATTTGATCGACCACTGCCCTTTCTTTCGGATTTTTTGGATAAAGAGAGTCATTTTTTGCGTATTTGCTGACTAAATAAATCATAATAGGACGACTATAACAACGAAAATTGCAAATTATTGTTGAGCGTGGCTTAAATTGTAGATTAAAATGTGAATCTTTCACATACCTTTCCCATAAAATAAAGCCGTTGTCATTAATGGTTGGTATTACGTGTTGTGGATTGATCTAAAATAGAATTATATTTTAAATTTTTATCTCCATGCCCTACAAACGAAGATACTTGTAACAACGAAGTTTACGATGAAATAGTGCAATGTGTATCATGCAATAGATGCTAAAACTATTTTTGGAATTAAGTATTTCCTTTAAAAAATTATAAAAAAATAATAATGTAATAAAAAGTATTATTATCATTATATTATTTTAATCCGTACTGCAGATTTTTACAATTAATAAAATTTTTATTGATAATTGTATACAATTTTCCTTTTTAGACGATAATAATCTTTTGGTAACATTGTTTTTAAAATAAAAACAAAAATAAAAATAATACATTATTTGCAAAATAGTTTTTTGCAATAATACTATTGCCACAATTTTTATTTTAATTCTAAAAATATTGATTTATAAAAACATTGCAATGGATGTGTATAATTTGTGCCTCTAATCTTTCTTTTCATTTTTTTTTTATTATTGAAAAAGTGATTTTTAATGAATTATTAGTAAGTGATTTTTAATGAATTATTAAAAAGTGATTTTTAATGATTATTAATAAGTCTGCGTGAAAAACATGAGAATAATTTAAACCACTAAGAAACCTGTAAAAATTCCGGCGTCAAATGCTCCCCTTTCATGACATTTATGAGCTTGAAATTAAGGTGAATGCCTAGTGCTTTTGCGAGTAACATAATGGTACGACAAGGTGGACTTGGTGGTATGTAATAACAATCAATCGGCATCTCGCTGCTTCCTTGCTTTCTTGCTCCGTTCACTTGTTATTTCCGTTATTTCTTCGCGTCTTTCCTCTTTTACGTTTCTTTCTCCCTCCCCTCTGAAATTTTTATTACTGTGTGTGCACAACTTCAACTAAAGAAAAACTTTTCAAATTTGTAGACCCTAAATCTATGGCTACGTGCACTGCTGCTATGTATCAATCTTTATTACCTAGTTTTAAAACAAGATATATTTTTATAGGCAAGTTATTTTTTTTTTTTTGTTACTTTTATACGAGATACACGCACATAAAATCTCTTTGATACAAGTGCGCGAATGCAGTTAGAAATCACAAAATTACAAATAAGGAAAAGATAAAGTCTATAAAATTTGCAGCTGGAAATAAGATTATTAACTTATGTTGAGAAATAATAATGAGAAGTTGGATATAAAGTGTGACTTCAGGAATTAAGGAATTCAGGAATTTAGAAATTCAGGAGGTTTAATTCAGGAATTAAATAAAGAATTGAATCTTCGATTACAGGAGCAATTGCAAGTTATAATATAAATGTTCTTGACTAATTTAGGGTATTAAATTAAGCATTAATAGTGTAAAGGTGTATTTGCGGAATGCAAATAACATGAATAGTCACGTCTCGCGAGAGCACGGCGATCGCTCCGTTCCAATTACCGTTAATGCAGTAATTCCGCTAATTAATGTGTCGTTTAAATGGCTTTCAAATGTGACCCTTACCTGTGATCCTGCTCAAACTTGACCAATTGATACGAATCAATGATACTTACGCCCGTTAGACATCAGCTTAATTAATTGACTTATCGTTCATTGGGGCGACATGCATACCGGAAATATGTCACTCATCGCGTCTTCCGAGTAAAGCTCTTTATTGGGAACAATATACAAAATAAAAGAAATGCGCGCGCGCAAACGATTCGTAAAGTTACCATAGCAATAGAGTACCGCCAAACAAAACCGCGAAACTCCAACGTTGACATTATCCGTTGCGATCGAAAGTTCGCCGTAAAGTCGATCGATTGGCTAATAAAAAACAGGAAGGACGCTAGGTAAATGGAACTTGTTACACTGGCGTAACGTATATAAATGGAACAGCAGAAAACATGTCAAAAAATATATTCTCTTTATTCAAATTTTATTTGACATTTTATTATGAAAGTAAAGCGATTGGCTTTAGATATTTTGTTTTCGGAAGGAGTTAAAATTTTATGCATGTTACATATGCATTTTACATATATGATATTTTGACATGTTCATGCATACAACTTTCATTTTTTGTCTCATAAAATGTTTTATAGAGAATTAATCGAGTTATTTGTTACTAGGTTGCATAGTATATGTACAGTGATAGAGAAAAATATTGGCACAATAGAGATGTTACTATAAAATGGCTGGTATATGGCTGATATTAAAAAAATGGCATTAAAATCTCAATTTTTAGAAAAGTTTTTATTTTTTTATTACAAAAACATTGAAAGTCAACAAGAAAATGAATAGAGTCAAGAAAAATATAAAAACATTATCCAATAATAATTCAAAAATAATTCAATTCTTTGGCCTATGGATATAAATTTCAAATTACATGTATTTTTATTTATAAAACCTAATGTTTTTTAAGCAAAAAACAATAGAAAATTTCAATGTTTATTTTTTAGGCTAGTTTATTTCATTTACAAAAAATAATAAAAAAAACCTACAAAATGGAATGTAAAAATAAAAAATTAACATTAAAGAGGAAAAAATTATATTGTGTTTATAAATAGAACAAGCAGTTATTAAAAAATTGCTGCAATAATTTAAAAAAAACTATTTTACCATTTCTTACAAAACAAATTTCAATTGAAAAATATGGAAAATAATGGGCGAAATAATTAGTCGTGCAAATTAACAATAAATATTATAAGGAAATTAAAAATTTTAAATATGGTGACAAAAATCTATAACTGATGTATTATAGATTGCTATAATTGTAACTGACAAACAAAGAATATAATCAAAAGCGTGAGTTCAAAAATAACCACGCACGACCCATCAGAATGAACTGGACATAATGTGAGAATAGTTTAAAAGAAAATCCTTTATAGAAGAAAGCATTTTTATTATTTTTTATGGCTACCTTTATTTATGTTAATATGCTATATAAAACTAAATGTAAAACTAAACGTAAAACAAGAAACACAAATTTTTACATAAATAAACAATTCGCTACTAGTTTTTGTTTTTTGACTGTATAAATCACTTCTAGTAACAATCGCCTTGTGTGTTGTTCCAATATTTTTGTTACCACATATTCTCAAAATAAATAAATTCTTCCCAGAATTCTTCCCAAAATACATTTTTACGAAAAGTCGATGATGAAGACTTCTGCTATTCAAGATTAGATGTCCGAGCACAACGACTCGTTACGTTGATCAGCAATTATGTCGTTACGTTGTTACGTTGTTATGTTGTTACGTTGTTACATTAGAAGTGGGTTTCTTAATTTTCCATTCCACGAAAGTGATTTTGATTGCAATGTGATCGGCACTTTTACGAGGCGCCACATTAATGACGTACTCTCGCAATTCTCGTGGTTTGTGCCACGTTATTCGTCTCAATAAATTTCTCTCGTTCCTGCTATTACTCGGATGGAACGTCGATCTCCGACTTCATTTTCGAAAATGCTAAATATAACGTATATCGTGCGTGATGATATAATTTTAATTAGCTTCGAAAGTGAATGAGAAGACTCTATAACTGTGTATCGGTGTCGCCACGTGCCAATTCGATATCGCGCATACGCAGACGCTGCTAATTGCTTTGGTTCAGTTCCGACGGCAATTTGTGGCGGATATGACGCTCTATCGACCGACACGAAAGAAAATCGATGGATTCGATCGGACGTTACATGGACCCGCGATCAACTGTATTCCCATCAACCGGATGTAACCAGCTGATGGTATTCGTCTAGTGCGACTTCCGCAGTCGATAGCGTGCCTGATCAGTGGACAAGAGAACGTGGACAGATCAATATCAAAGGGATCTCACGTTTAGCGACGTGGAAAAAATGTAGATCGCGTCTTGTCGCAGGAGTTCAGCGTGGATCGAATCTCTTTCAAATTTAAAGTGATTACAACAAGAAATTAATAATCGCCAATAAAGCACATTGTAACAGAATTGTCGTTGAATCGAATCGATGCTATTGATGACTTGACAATGGGAATATTTCTCATATAGAGAATATTTTTCATATGAGATTTCCCATATAAGAATATGAAGCCATTTCTAAACATTCTAAAGGACTCAATTTTTGGAATGGTTTCATACGTTCCGCTTTCATACGCCTCTCGCATTTTTGCACGCGAGCGAGAGAATTTTCGTACAGAATTTTGTAACCCTCGCGTATATTAATTTACTTTATTATATATATATATATATATATATATATATATATATATCACGTTCGAGAGAATTATTATATATGCATCGCAAACGTCTTCTCGTCGAAACTGCCGACTGTTGATAATGTTCCCGGAATGGTCCCGGCGGGCGGAGTTGGTTCTCCGTTCGCTTGGCTGTTATCGCAACGAGCGTCGGGCGTGTCTGTGGTGCGCGATTATCGATTAACCCCGGCAAATCCACTGAGATGGAAAATGAAATAGCCGCGCGCGCTCGGCCCCGTGGCTCGGCTCGGCTCGGCTCATCGATGGGGCGTCAGGGAGATGCGTGATCTATCAACCCTATCGGCGTTACGTTCGTTTCAGGCTCGTTTCTGGTCGCGCGCACAAACGCGGACGCCGGGCCAATATGTTTTAATAATGGGAGGCATAATGCGCGTGAAATGCGCCCCGCGCGCGCGGGTTGATACGCGCATACTCGCGTCTCCACCGCGGCTCGTCCACGGCAGGGATTCTGTATGTTTCATTGGACCATTATCAACGTATACGCGGGAGCGCGCGCGATGTCTCAATGTCGAGCGAGTTTCGTTTCGTTCTCGTATATATCCGGTCGCTATAATAATCGGCCATCCGCGCATCCGGGAAATATTCCGATATTACACTTTTGTTCACGCCGCCCCGTGAAATATTAAATGAGCGCCGGAGAAACGCGCGCGATAATTATCGCCGCGCGACACTAAAGGCGCCTGTAACATTGATGCATTGAACGCCATATATGTTTATCTGAATTATCTCCTTATGCGAACGAATAATGCGAACTTGGCGCGGCTCGCTGCCAATATTATCCGCCCCCATAAATATCAAATTTCGAGTTCATCGAAGATGATCGAGCAATTAGGCCAAAAATTATCGCTGCTCGACGGATTAACAAGCGCCTGTCGACGGCGTTCGGCGCGTCGATATTGTATTAGTCGGGCCGTATGTGCTCGCGTACAACAAAGAGCCGAGGGATGGAAGTTTCGTTCATCTCGCGTGCGCGACGGACTCGACGCGCGATTTAATTTACCCCTCAGCCGAGTTTATAACGGGCGAATAATTATGACGCTGCTGAAATCGATGTGGGCGCGCGCTGTCTCGTCGGGGAAAATTTGATTTCACGAGTGAAGAAATCCGATTCCTTTAGTGCGCACATAGTGCCATCTTTCCTCCTCTTTCCCTCCCACGGAACGTGATCTCGGTCAACGAAGTCAAAGACGCTGCGTCAAAAGTAGCCTCGAACGTCCGTCCGTTCGGCGAGACGGCGGGACGGAGGGATGAGGGGCGGAAGTGTGAGGGGCGGAGGAGTGGCATCCCCCGATGGCCGATAGCGTAGGTAAAAGATCAAAGCGTCAGACTGCGAAGACATATGCCGCTGAATGGTGCGTCTCGCGACGGGGAAACTGTCGCTTTATGCCTTTCCGACCCATCCTGCCGTTGTCACTCGAGAAGTAGCAAAGATGTTACCAGTTCCAACGAGTTCCGAAGGAGTTACGAACTGCTCTGTGTTAGTTTCCCGCTCGCTTTCTCGGTTGCGCCGTCTGGGGAATCGGTTGTTACGCGATTCCCATGCCGGAATCATGGCCGACGTGAGTGTTACGTCAAACCGAAAATAGCGGAGAGATAGATTTCCTTTCTGTTTATCGCCGCTAATGTCGAATCGATATTTATACCTTATTTATCGATACTTCGTGTTTACGCTTTCATATTTACGCGATTACGTACGGACTGTTTAACTTAATATCCCTTAATTTCTCTTTCACCATTTTTCGATGTAAAAAATGTTGAAAGTGTTTTTAAAAGAGAAACAAGTTCTCCCATGGCCGAGACATATTTCTATTAAGCTTG